AAGCCTCTACTCATATTCAAATTAGTATTAGTCTTGATTTTTAAGAGATTCTGGATACTTTAGCAAAAAGGAAATTTTAAGTTACTCACCAATGTAAAATCATCAAAAGGTGAATACAGTAATTTCTCTACAAATAGCTTATATTCATGATTAAAATGTCACAACAAGAATATCTGTTCATATGATTTGCCAGAATTCTGCATATATTGCAGAATAATGTCTTACAGTTTTTGTTTATCAAAGTAATTGATACTGTTTTCTTCAAAAGTAGAATGATTTGAAAGTTAAGTGTTGCTATGATGACTTTATGGTTTGTAGTTCAAAATATTGAAATTTTTTTTAAAAACGCTTATGATAAACTGGTGGTATAATAAATATCAATGCAGAAAGTGGAATTGGAGAGCAGAGTTCAAATTCTGGGATAAACTGTTGCATTCACTTTCACACAATACCCTTGGAGGGAAAAGGCACAAATCTATTCTTCCCTCAGTTATTGTTTTGAACTTGAAGAACTAAGGAACTTGAAGTTATAACTTTTTTTTTTATTTTTTATTTAATTATCTTTATCAACATGTTCTGTTCTCTGATGGACTGTATCAAGGCAAATGTAAATCAAAGTTTTTCTCTTTTCTTTCATTCATAATCTTTTTACAGATATATATTTATATCTGAATTTTTACATACTGTATAACTTGATATTAATTTGAAATTCTACAAATATTACAAAATTAAGACAGTATGTATCTCTTTCTAAAAATGAATAGAAAAATACAAGATGAAGAAAACTTAATTCTCTGAGATCCAGCTTCCCAGTAGCACAACCTCAATGAGTTAAATCAGAGGTATGTCATGACAACAAATGCAGGTTGGACTGAGCAGTTTTAGTCTATATTCATTTATTACTTGTATAGGACTTCATATTTAACAAATTATATTTGTCCTTGTGAGAAGGTAAATAAAAATAGTTAAGACAATTGCTTGTCATCCAATAATTGATAGGTTACCATAGGTTATAAAATCCATTTTATTTTTTCTTTTCTTTGTACCATTTGTGATAATACTAATACATGCAATCCTTAACTACCATGGCTTCCAACTGTCTGGCAGTTAAGGTTGGTACTTGAGCAGCCTTTGTCAGCTAACATTACAAACAGTTATGGCTTAAGTCTTTATTTATCCTATTGTGTGCAAATACGCAATTCTTCTTAAAAGACAAAGAAAATGTGTAGTTATTTTGTTCACCTTGCATTTACATTCTGTCATTCAGATTTTCTTTGTTGAGGTGTTCTTGACTGTTTGTGATTAGGATTTTTTTCCTATTTATCTTGTTGATAGCTACTCAAAAGTTTATCTCTTCTTCTAAATTCCATTTTCAGATTCAGCTAACAATATAAAAGATATTAGCCATCTACAAGCATAAGTGACTCTGAATATTACATATAAGGATGTGCTGAAAAATTCTTGACTTGATGATTGCTATATAAATTCTGATGTTTGGCTAAATTTGAAAGTGGGTTGAACTGAGAATTTATTAGTATTCCTTTGGATATTGAATAAAATCAACAAGGAGTTTTTATCAATTTTAATATTAATTATTTTTGATAAGACACTCTTGTTTTATTCAATACAGTTTGTGCATGAAAAATCTACTTTTAAATACATACACATGTGTTTATTTTATTTTTAAATTAGTTTTCATTATTTAATTCTAATCTTTTCATAACAATTTATCATTTAGTTTTTATATGAGGTGAGGGTGGGGTCTGAAAACTTCTTACTAAAATGTAACCAAATGACAAAATATTTTTTTTCTTCTGGAATTTTAAAATTTTATTTGCTTTTTGAGTGTGTGCATGTGGGGGACTTGGTCTGACTGGGAACTTTTTAGTATTTCCTCATAAGTTGTTCTGAATTTTAATTCATAAAATTATTCTGATGACCAAAATCCTTTTTAATTTACATCTAGAAAAATTTATTATTGGCTGACACAATCTTAACCTTTAGCACTCTGCATTAATATTATTCCCCTTTCCACTGCATTCTTTGTCAATTGCAGTATCCTTATTGTTAATTTTACTCAGTTGTTTTTTGTTGCCATAGCAGGATTTGAAAACATAACTATGAAATTCAAATTCAGGAATTAGGTCACCTTTAGCAGCAAGATAAACTTTTTGTACAGCAAATGAAATCACATGCAGAGTGATGAAAGTTAACATAAGATATGCAGATGACAATGTGTTGATACACAGAAAGAAAACTGCAGGAACTTCTAGAGATGATAGTAAAAGAAAGTAAGGAGAAAGGACTGAACACCAATTGTAAGAAGACAGAATGTATGGTTGTTAGCAAGAGGAACAGCCCAAGATGTAAAATACAAATTAAAGAGGCCAATTAAAAGAAAGTAAGGAGAAAGAACTGAACACCAATTGTAAGAAGACAGAATGTATGGTTGTTAGCAAGAGGAACAGCCCAAGATGTAAAATACAAATTAAAGAGGCCAATTAAAAAGAAAGTAAGGAGAAAGGACTGAACACCAATTGTAAGAAGACAGAATGTATGGTTGTTAGCAAGAGGAACAGCCCAAGATGTAAAATACAAATTAAAGAGGCCAATTAAAAGAAAGTAAGGAGAAAGGACTGAACACCAATTGTAAGAAGACAGAATGTATGGTTGTTAGCAAGAGGAACAGCCCAAGATGTAAAATACAAATTAAAGAGGCCAATTAAAAGAAAGTAAGGAGAAAGGACTGAACACCAATTGTAAGAAGACAGAATGTATGGTTGTTAGTAAGAGGAACAGCCCAAGATGTAAAAATACAAATTAAAGAGGCCAATTAAAAAAAGAAAGTAAGGAGAAAGGACTGAACACCAATTGTAAGAAGACAGAATGTATGGTTGTTAGCAAGAGGAACAGCCCAAGATGTAAAATACAAATTAAAGAGGCCAATTGTATAAAAATGTTAATATTTGGGAAATGTTTTAACTGAGGATGGAGAATATCACATCAAATCTGAAAACTGAAATAGAAAAAGTTGCCTTCTGGAATCTAAGCAAAGTATAAAGAAACAGGAAATTTTTCAATAGCAGTAAAAAATAGTGCTGAGCTGCTATACAATATCAGTCCTCCTATATATCAATGAATATAATCTCACAGATAATCTTCTCACAGATAGAGACAAGGCAACAGAAATGTGGTTCTACAGAAGGATGCTAAGAATCACATGGATGGAGCATGTGAGCAATGAAGAAGTTTTTTTGTTTTTTTTAAAAATGGAAACAAAAAGGATACTTAGAATCATTGAGACACAACCTAATGAGCCTGTGTAAATAGATGAGAAAACAGTGGGACGGATGGTGAAAAAACAAACCTTGCTCAGAGCTACAAATGATAGGAAGTTGTAGACTTCTGGGACGTAATTGACAATGTCATCTACATCCCAGAAGTAGATAAAGAATTATAGGATTTTTTCCTAAGGATCTTAATCCTTAACACTAATAATATAATTATATAATGCTTGTTCTTGGTCAACAGGCATGCTATATTTGATAGTTTATCTTTCCTCAAAAAATAGCTAAAAATATTCTCCCATCTTATGTGAAATATGTGATTGACTATTATTTACCGATATGTTGTAAGTTACCAGTACTTGTACCTAGCTTAACAATGAAATAGTATAATATTAAATGTAAATAGTAGGGTTTTTAATATGCAATCAAATATGCAGTAATAATTCTTTAAGACAGTGGTTCCAAAACTTTTTTTTTCTCTGGGCCACATTGTCAGAATGAAAATTTACTTGTGCCTCATCAAATTGTATGTGATAAAAAGTACAAAAATAAAAGAAAACGAGAGGTTAAAGGGAAATAACTTTGGATTCAAAGTCAGTATATTATCATAGATAACTCTCTCCTCCAATTTGCAGAGTTTAGTTATATTCTTAATATAATGCAAAAATATCACAATGATAAAATTGGTCAATAATTATTTATAACTATTTATACTGGGACTCATGAGTGCAATTACAAGTAATCCATAATATTTTGTATTTTGAAATTATATTTATTCTTATCATATCAATTTTTTAAACTGTTTCTAAATCTTTGATTATCTTTGAATCATTCTGTCTCAACTGCTATCATCTTCTGCCACACTTCACCATTTATGAACCACTAATCTAGTAAAATTCAAAGATTTTGATAATATATGTAGATCTTAATGAACATTATTAAGTTTTTTTTAAATATTTGTATGGACAAGGATCATATTCAAATTATATGGTCACTTTATTTCAAGTGATTCTGTCATAGAAGTATTCTTTCAATATCTATTATATGGAAGATGTTAACATTTTCTTTACTGCCCACACAATTCTATATTAATCTTGTTCAATCCTGTTTTATGAAATAACAATCAAAATAACAAAACTTGTTTGTCTGCATTTTATTAATATTTCACTTACTGTAAATGCTGTTCTGGAAAAAAAAACATCTTGATATCTAAGTTTTGTGTTTATAGACAAGCATGATAGTCAAAGTATAGAAAATTTGAAGATTAACTGGTTTTTCTGGTATTTATTCAAAATGAACACATTGATCACAAATCACTTAAGTGTTCTTCTTGTCAGATAGTAATCTATATATAAAATTCTGTGAATTCTGTTAGTCTGTCCATCCATCACACCCTCTAAAATAACCATACATTGACCAATTGAAAACAAATTTTGGGTTTAGTTGGTTGTTTTTGTTTAACATATCAACCTCTGTGGGTTATTTAATGCCAATCTAAATATTTTGTATGTGATTTTTATTTTTGGAGATAATTGTTTTAATGGCACAACACTTACTAATTAACATGTATCTCGGATTGAGGGAGAATAGGTGGATACATACCTTTTTTGAAGGGTATTTGAGCATAAGTGAATATAACAAACCCAACTGGAGCTCTGATATCCGATTAAAAATTCTGAACCATTATCCATTGTATCACCCACACATCCATGCTTACTGCTCCTGGTATTCACAAGTGGTCACCCATCTAGGTATTAACCAAGATTGACGTAGCTTAACTTCAGTGATCATACAGGAACCAGTGTTTCAATTTGATGTGACCGTAAGCCCAAATTTTGGGAAGAAGTACAAACAGATAAGGAAGTACAAAGTACACTTCATTTTATTAAGGTGCATAGCTAAGTACAATTAATTTTTATTTTTTTTTAAGAAAAATTAAATGTTTTTTATTGACTGAAACGTAGTTTGTAAATTTTGCCCCAAAATGTTAGCAATAATTTCAACAATACTAAATACTGTGAGGATTTTAACATGCATCAGCATGCTATGAAAAATCTAGTAATAAAAAGGGGCTATGGCACTTGGAGAGTTATTTGCACTTGGTGAAAACATGAACATAATGATGAAAAGGCTGTTTCTATATCCTGATAAGCTTATTAGTCTCAAATTCTCATATGTTTAAATTGTGTGACAATATGACATGGTTTGTCGTGGTCAGTTTCCATACAAACTATTTCTATTTAAACAATGTTGTATTGTACAAGCACTTCTGCTGATATCTATTGTATACAAACTTTTATCCACTGTGCCATGTGTCCTCAAGGACACATGGCACAGTGGATAAAGGTGTCAGTTAGATCCAGTGACAGGACCCAAAGAGTGTGAGTTCAATACCTGGTTAAGGCGGTGGAGAACTTGGAGAGGGGAATTTACAGGAGATAACTGAAAACTGACATCCATTAGACATGGCACATGGAACTAGAACAGTCTACCCCCCAATGAGCGAAATAAAGGGTTCAGTTCGACATTCCAACAACCTGAAGAAGGCTAGAACATACAACGGCCAAAATATAAATATGGCAGCAAAGATGAGGACAATAGTCTGAATAATGTAAATAGTGTACATAATACCACATCTCAGAAATATATACAGATACTTTTGTCAATGTCTTTCAAAACAACTCTTATGTTTATATTAACCTTAGTTAACATAGTTTTCATGCAGTTCTTGGTGACAATTTAGGTTTTCTTTCATGCGCAGGTAAATTCTGTGTTGTGCCAAACTGTTTAAACATCTTTATAACAGATTGTTTCATAGATCTAAGTAAAGCTAACCAGTTTGAAATAGTGCTGTAACTATTTCCTGAGTTGTGGAAGTTAATAATTCTGTCTCAAGTCAATGCTAAACTCCTTTGTCTTCCCTATCGTGTTGTTAACATAAGAATTAACAATGACACTCTATGCACTACATGATGTTCTTTGCTGGAATTATCACAAATATTCTACTGAATAAATAGTCTCCAAGGCTTCACCAATAAAATAATTATATAAATTACTTATACTTACATGAATCAATCAATTTAAAGCAATATTTTCTACTGTATTAATAATTTTCTTTTCCTATTTTGCATAATTTGCCTGTCAAAATTGTTTTTAACCTATTGTTCTGAAAATTGACTTTTATATTTCTTTTCGTGCTTATTAACATATAAACATCTAGCATTGTACAGATTCTGAGAAATGGATAAAAATATTCAAAATTGATAGGTGGATGAATAATTTTGTCATTGACTGTATATAGTCTAGCCAGTTTAATTTCTTTTAATTAGTTTTTGTTTTTGTTATTCTGTATCCCACATTGTCATAACAGAAGATTTGTTAAGAAAGGTGAAGTGTTGTAAGATTTGTTAAGAAAGGTGAAGTGTTGTAACCTGGATGCAAATTTACCGTGGAACATCTAATGATTAAACTATTTTTTTATACACTTTCATCAGGCATACAAAAATTTATCTCATTTTCTCTCATGTATGATTGTTTCTTTATTACCTTGGATTGCCATGAATTTCTTGTGGGTGGGGATAGTGATTTTCTATTTTTTTTTTATTTTTTTTTTTTTTTTGACTTTGAATTCTGAGTAGTCCTTCCCTAGACTGACTTATACCTTGAGTATAATAAGCAGATAATTTTTAATTAATTTTAAATGAAATGTTTGGGATGAATTGTATGAATGATAATTATAATGCTCAATATCAAGAGGTATAGTATTAAATGTAAATTTATCTGTCCTTACCGAGTTTCATGTTGATTACATCTCAACATCAAACTCTTGAACACTTCAATCGTCAGAGGATCTTCCTAGTGATTCATTCAGTGGGTTTTCAGATAGTTTGGTGGCACCCATCTCCTCTACAAATTCTTGACCAACAGCTGAAGACCACAGACTATGGTATGGGTCAACCTCAGTCTGTACCTTTAGCATGTATTTTTGTTCTTTTCTTAGACCATTTTCCACCCAAGACTATAGGACCCAGTCTGTTCTGCTATTTACCCTTAGCTGGGAGGAGAATAGTCAGATTTATGGCTTTCCCAAGGGTATTAGTATGTGAGTGAGTGAATATAATGAACTCAACTGAGATGTTTAATGTGGGGAACCTGAGTGTTTACACTCAGACTGAGGACAAAAATTGCCCAGTCCCCACAAACATAGGTTGCATTGGCATTGGTATGACAACCAATCCCTCCTCTTTAGTGCAATGGGTAGGTGCAGCCTGAGGTAGCTGTTCTCCTTTACTGGGCATCTCGTAGTTTTTATTTTCCACAACTGAGTCACACTCTACCCAAGAGCAGAGCTGCGATAGAGCCGCACTCTGCCTGAAGACAGCACTATGACAGAGAGATGATAATCTAACATCTGCTAAGTCATAAATAAACCTTTTAATTTTTTTTTTACTATTAAAGCATTCTCTTGATATTAAAAAAAAGAAAAGTGGGTTTAATCTCGGTGAAACTCAAAGGGAACATATAATTTTATTTATCACTTAAATTTGTAACCTCCAAAAGTTACCAAATCTGAAGTTCCCAATTCCAAAAGAATCAAATTATATTCTTTTAATATCTTAATATTTCTTTACATACTCTCTAGAATAGATATTTATGCATATTATTAAGTTTTTGAGTAATTTGATATAGCTTAATAAATTAAATACGAATTCATAGTTCTTAAAGGTTTACAATTAGTCAAAGACTCGGAAATTCCATTTAAGAAAAGTTCAATCTGAAAGAGAAATTTGGTTATTTATAAATGGAAACCAATATGGTGATAAAACAGGTAATTGGTAAAAAAAAAAAAAAATTTTACTTGTCACAAAATAATAATAAAAAAAAACTTTGTGAAATCATGTGAGTTGATTAATTTTTTTTTTCTCAAAATTTAATTTTATTTAAATGTGTCTAACTATTGCTGCTTAAAGGCTCAAATAATAATTCATTTTCATTGATATTTTTCTTACTAACACTTTTTTTCATATTTTATAAAATTTTCTTCTTTTTCATTATGGCATTCTCATTGTTGTATTGATAATATTAGCCATTTCCTTATGTGATAACATTCAACATTCATTGACCCAGCAGCCAGTGCTAATTTTGGTTAAAAATTTATAAAATCTTTTTCTTAAAGCATTTTTTCAGAAAAATAGTTTTAAAACAAGTAATTGTTATCACTCTTTCCAGTATTGATGGGGGTCTTCCTTAATCTGTTTGTTCAATGTTTTGTAGGAAATCAACATCTTGATTGTGTCATTATTTTCGCTTCAAGTTATGTGCTATCCATTTTAGTTGTTGCTGCTGTTGAAAGTCATCAAGTGATGTGGTTTCTGTTATTTGGTACAGTTCTTTAGCAACAGTCCACAAGGTTTAAAGAAGGAGGATCTTTGCCAAGACATTCAGGCTTCATTATTTTCTCTTTCAGTTACATGTGCTATCCATTTTAGTTGTTGCTGCTGTTGAAAGCCCTCAAGTGATATGGTTTCTGTTATTTGGTAAGGTTGCTTGTGTTTCTGTAATGCCAGTCAGAGGTTCAAAGAATCGTCCTTGCTTCATTCACTGAAAACCTTTTTTAATCATTGATCTGAGAAAGTACTATTAAAAATGAGTTCTGTATATATTCATGTATAAGCTGACTTTATGTATGATGCAACAATTCTTTTGCATGAATTTTAACCCCTCAAAAACAAATTACCTGTATATAGTGTTACTGGTCACTGAAAATGCATGCCTCAAAAAATAACCTGAATATACAGTAATTACTTTAAAAATTGTAAAGGAATCTGAGTTAAAGATCTAGACACAAAAAATCGTGCATATTTCCAAAGAATAATTTTCAAAATTTTATATATTAGAGGTTGATGATCAAGAAGCCCTTTTAAGAGATAAGATATTCCAATGTTTGGTCATCTGGTCTGATTTTGGGAAGTGAGAACTTTTATGTATCTTATATAGAAAGGAATCCAACTGTAGCCTCCATAGTATTTGGGATGTGTAAAAGTTTCCACAAAAATAAATGGTTTTCAATTGTATATTCATTCCATTTCCCCCACTGGAGGAAAAAAAACTCTAGAGACTTAGGCACCTCATAAATTATATATGAACAAGGAAAACTACTTTAAAAGAATATGTATTTGATGTGCTTTTAATGCTACAAATATTTATTAGCTATTGTATTTTAATATAAATCTATCATTGAAGTTATATTTAGTCTGAGTTTACATGCATTATTCAATAGTATATTTTTTGGCATGCTTACCAACCTTTTTCACATAATATACTGCAGTGTTAATTTAGTCATTACTAAACTTACTATAATTTCCAAACCTCAAACCAGAACAATTATTAGTTTTATTATAGGTTTAGGTTTTTAGCATAATAAAATGTTTTCATGATTCTTTATCTTTTAGTTTCAGGGCTGACACACAATCACACAAAAAAGCTGTTATCTTATATCTCTAGCATTACACTGGGATAAGACATATGAACCAAGCTAGGTACAGAAGCAAATCAATTTGAAATAAAAAAAATTAAGTTTCAGTTTTTATTATAGAGTTTTGCATTATTTACTACTGATTGTTGCTGCTTTGTTTAGATGGAGAAGACATTTATTGTTAATCCCCTTTATAGAAAAGGGAAGGATGATGTTGCAATTGAGGTCAAATGAGAGAAAAATAATAAGGCCAATAAAGGTTCTGTTGTATCAAAACAAGGAAATGAATACCATCAAAGACTTTGAATATAATTTAATAACAATGGTAACAATTAAGTGAAAAAGAAAAGG